CCTACCGCGCCTTGAAGAGCATTCACCATTGTTTGCCCTTTCTTCGGTTGTTGGTCTTTAGACGCGTGCTTCCATTTCAAAATTTTTACATACCTTGGGATTCATCTCATCTGACTGGAACTGTTGTTGGCATGAACTCGAATGAGACGTTTCCTTCTTTTTCTTTTCTGTTACCCTTTTGCATTCATCGCTTGCAATCAATTTTTATGTTTGTGACCATGCTCTTCAAAAATAAATAATATTAGTGGTGTTGAACATCTTAGGTGAAACAACTATTTCCTTTACAAGTTGGCAACTTTTGTTGTAAACCCGCTCGAGGATGGTACGTTTCTCATCCATTTATACCGAATAGCTAATCTGTTAGGGCGTCGTTGACAGATAAAAAGCTTCATGGGTGTACCTGGCCTATCCCTCTCCCCGGAAAGCATAGACTTTCAAGAACAGTAGAACGATTTCAGCCTCGGCTCTATTCCCTTGATGTGGACGTTCAGATGGTCGGAGAGACACGTGGCTCAGTGCATTTGAGTCTTTGTGAAGTTGAATTGTTTTCGCCCAGAACACCCCCTTCGTCTCCATGTGTGTTGTGGGCGCGGAGGGGAGTCCCTCCGGAAGTTTTCTAGCAAACCTAATGACACCTACAACTTCAACACACTTCTTAACGAACTGGATGTTAAAACAAAAATCTTTTTTTGCCACGGAAGACACCTCGCTCTTGAGAAAAACCCACACAAAGAACTTCCATCTACTGTTCCTTCAACTCACTGTCCAGGTAAGCATGCACCTTCCTTCACTGGGTGTTCGGAGCCACAAAACACTCGACGTTTTTCATATGAAGTGATTATGATTCCCTCAGAACCTGATCCACATAATAGCTCCTGTAATAACGATAATAATACTAGAAATAATATAATATCAAGCGTCACAGCAAAGTAGTGCGGAGTTTCGTCCGACAGACGCTTGTGAGACTGGAAGAGCACTGAACAGTTACGTTGAATATATTCTCAAATAAACACAATTCGATTGTGAAATATTTATCTTCAGAACAAGATAAGGTAGAACTGAACGCGAAAAACCACATGGCCCCAAGCTAACGCTGTTGTGGGATAGTAACACAAGATTTAGAAATGCGAGCAGATGCGAGATTTCAACTCGTTATTTCAAGTCATCCATCTATTCTCCAGCTGTGTCATCACACACGAAATTCAGAACAGAGAACCATTGTATCGAATTGGTGTAACATGGCCTGTTTATACAACTAAATTTCACACTCTTGAATAACTTTATTACAGAACCAGATATGATAGAGCTTCACATATTACAAACCGGTAACTTCCGACAATTATTCTGATTTGCACACGCATCTGGTTTTGACGGGAGACTCAGCTGAATCTCACCTTTATGCTGGTCTGCCGAGGAGCTTCCAGTAACTTTATGATTAGTGTGCCACGTTTGACCAACTTGTTCATAACCAAAACAGCAAAACAGACGATCTTCCACACAAGATGATATCGGCTATTTCGTTGTGTGCTAATTCAAGCAATTGTTTTTTGTTTTATTAGCGGAGCCCCTGTATGTACCTGACGAATAAAACAACTCCGGCTTGAAAAGCTTTAGGTGAAATTTGGTTTCTATCACAACAGACACTATTAACAGAATTGCTGAAAACTTCTGCACAACTCGCCACCAGTTTTGTCTTACTTGGCCCTCATCGGGTAGGTGTGCCTGAGTACCCTTCAACCTTAGGTCCAGCTAGGTCATTTTGTGTACAATCTATGTCACCTCAGCTGGAATGCAGTGCTGATAGAAACTCAGGGACTCATCAACGTTATCATCATTAACGACAGCATAATATTGCCGTTCAAAAGTGGTGCTTTGTTGCTGTAAAACTATGATTTGTTTGAAAGCCTTATTATGGAGAAAAGAGTAAATGTGGATGGAGAAGGGACTCGGTGTTACCCTACCACAGTCGTACACCTTCAGATAGCTATTCAGGCAGTCTGAATAGAAATGGCAACAAGAATGCCATTGACGCTGATCAGAAACCGTAGCGTTCGACGTCTCCAACCAGGCTCAGTGGGATCACCTGGTCCCTATTCTGGAAGGCGATTGGCCCCAAAGGCACCCGGGTATTTCCTAATATCTTTTAGAATCCTCTACCATGTCAAAGGTTGGCCGCCTCTCTGTTTACGACATTCTGAATTGGACACAAAAAAAAACAGCACACTCTTCGGCAAGCGGCGGTTCGGTATGCACGCTACACGGTCTAACTAAAACAGCTTCTAGTGCTGGACACATCCTTCAATGGAAATACCCGTTACAGCACCGAAAACGCGTTTTCTAACTGTCTTGTTAAGGATTCGCCGGTACCAACCCACACGAGCTATGGTTCCGAGACAACGATTGTCGAACACCTGAAGACGTCTCATGTCCCCTGCTCGAACAGGCCAAGTCTCACAGCCATACAGTAAAACATTCTGTACTTAGCTTGATACACATATCCCCTGAGATTCAGGGATGTACCGCTTTGACGCCACTGTGTCTCAAATTAGAAAACGCGATCCGAGCCTTGCAGATTCGTGCATTGACCTCATCCGTCGCACTGCAATCAGAATTAGCACAACTTCAAACATACAAAAAAAGCTGCATAAATTCGAGTGCCCCTCAATGGAGTGTAAGTGGCGTGTCCAGTAAACGCATATCTACGAGCATGACCTTATCCTTTGTGGCTGCAATGTGCATACCAAAAGACGGGAAGACCTTGCTTAGTTCATCGGAAAACACCTGAGACGTCTCCTCCTCTTCGAAGACCAGGACGATGTCGTCTGTATATTTCAGGTCGACGAGGTTTTCGTCAGAGGTCAGTTGAACACCGGGGTTTTGAAGACATTCCAGCGTTCGTCTCATGATTTAATCGATCAAGCATTTAAATGGAAATGAGGATAGCGAGCACCCTGACGGACACCACTTTGTGTGGAGGCTTTTGGAGAGCTCACCGTATACTCTCACACGTCCGAAGCTCTGAAAATGCAAGGAATATATAATGTTTACAAATTTCCATGGTATTTCTTGATGAGCGAGCATACCAAGAAGAACAGACCGATCAACCGAGTCAAACATGCCTTAGAAATCCAGAAATACTAAAGTTGGGTCGTTTGTATGTGTGGCATTTTTGTAATGCCTGACAAAGCTTAAAGATCTGGCCACCGGAACCCTTATCAGGCCGCCATTTTGCTTGTTGCTCTCGGTTCAGTGTTCCGCAAGCCATTATCAGGCAAATAAAAAGAAGCCAAAAGTCTCGTTAGGAGCAGGCTCAAGCTCGTCCACAATTGATTACCTCCATCTTTGTGGGACCCTTTTTGTAAACGAGCACTATGACCCAGTTGTCTGGGATAGTTTCTTTCTCCCAAACGCAGGCAGAGATCAAACAGGCGCTGAATGGGGACTTCATCCTCATCCGCGAACAATGCGTTTGGGGGGTCATGGTGACCAGAAGCTCGGCGGCGCTTGAGAGGAAAATATGCAGCCACAAACCTTCTAGTCCGTAGGGGGTTCCAATTCCACCGTCCAGGGATCTACTTCAGTCGTAGGAACAAAATGACTAGCAGTTGATGACCACGGGAGCTGTTGTTCGAAGTATTCGGCCCAGCGGTTTCCTTTATTCAAGATGTCCACTGTAATTAGATCGTCGAGGGACTCGCTAACAGGCGAATTCTGACGTCCTGTCTCACGGACCAACTAAGCTAAGCTCTGGGTATTCCCAGATTTCTGGGACTCTCATTTCCTCAGCGTTCCATGTTTTCCGGGCTTCACAGTCCGCGCACACGCTCACTTAACGTCCGTTCGTTCGTCGGGCAAATTATTTTCGGAACCGGCGGGAACCAGCGTCCGAGTTTCACACGATGTCACCGTTTTGTCTGATTTCCGCTGCTTTAGCATACCTGGTAGCGCGGTACCCGAGGCAAATCTCATGGCACTGAACAAAGACGTGGCGATCTCCTCCCGGCATGGATTCACATCTGACGGTGAAGTGGTTGAAACAGTCCGGAAGACAATTCCTTTAAATCCGTCTGTAACTGATGGCGATGTGATCAATTGGATTACGTAGCAAGCACGTCGCTATTGGACACCTTGTAGTCAGACGACTTCAGTTATTTCGGAAGTTAGCGCCGTACAAAGACAGCTTGCTGTTAGCACATAGCAGAGGCACTCATGCGTCACTGTCCGAACGCGCCGGGTCCAGTCGTTATCGACCACCGATGCGCTATGACTGACCGCTTGTCAATTCGGATCTTCGCGAAACACAACGATGTGTGAGCTTTGATCTGGCCTCAGGATGATATTCTGGGCGCACAAAACCTGTCTTTGATGTTGGGGCCTGAGAAGACCCGACAAACGGACAACGATCAACTTCTTCCTTGTGAGACGCTTGAACGGGCGTTACCAGACGAACCGTACAGAAGTGACTATCACCGGGTATCCAGGTGAGCAAGGGTCCTTCCGCTCGGTTACATAAGAAGGTACCGATCAGTGTGTGTTTTGGCACCGAGACCTCTGGATCAGAATGAATGCACAGCCAGAAGCGGATGGAAAGTAATGGGGTAGTTTGCCCAACCACTGAGCTTGCATCTTGAATTCTTGTTTCTGATACACACCTCAGTGAGAGAGCAAGAGCAGGTTCTTGTCCTGCTTGCTTCAGAGCGTGGACACTGAAGGCACCCTAATAGACTGGGTGTCGAGACTTCAAGATCAACTTCGAGATGCCTGAGGATATTAGTGCCGGATGACCTCCAGATGTCACGGCCAGAACCGTTGCAGAACGAGCGGGGTTGTCAGACCTAACTGATGTGCTTGCAAAGAGCGAGATGATAATGAAATGGAGGGAGCGAAGTATAAAACATGCGGAAGAGAAAGGATAGAGACGCCAGGAATAGTCCGTTCTCGCTTACCCGATCCGCTGTATGCAGGAGGTAAGGCGATGTTACCATGCGAGGGCCTATGTGGCATAGGTTTGGTTGTGTGTGTATGTGCAATTCATGGTTTTGCGTGGGTTGGGATACTACCAGGGCACCCAGACCTAGACAGAAGGACAATTAGGGTCCTCAACCAAAGCCTTTGGCTCAAAAGCCTGACCGCAAGGCAGCGGTGTTTGGCTGGAAATGCCAGTGCATTACCGCTTTCAAAGAACAAGTCGCCACCACCCGAACGTGGAAGCCCAGGAGAATGTGTAGTTCAAACGTGAAACTATTGACCAACCTGATATGAGAAATCCTGTGAGTGTTGCATGGGTGCCCTCAGTATAGTTCAGTGGGTAACAGAGGCAGGCAAACCGTCACACCATGTCACACGGTAATGTTCAGTACCTTCGTGAAGGGAGGGGAGTGCTAGTCTTTTATTGATCTTTTCTGTCCGTTATTTTTGTTGTTACTCCAGTATCTTTTTACCACTCCTCTTGTGACAAAGCTCCTTGGAAATCAGTATAATTTTTCACCTTTTTTCTATTCACACGTGTGGCGCACTGTACTCCTCTTCTTTTCAACAGATTTTGAATGTCGCTGTTTTTGTGATTCACCGAGTAGTGGCTGTCCAACACTCGACATGGACATGTTTTTATTCCATTATACCCAAGTTTGAATTGCTTTGTCGGTAGTCCGGAGGATTGCTGAGCGAAAAACGTCAAGAACGGTAGTTTGTTGTGTTTCTGCAGTTCAGCTGGCGACTCGACATCCTGAATCTATAGGCCAACATTTCCTCCCTGTTTCTGTTCATCTTCGTTTGATAATAACAGGTAGGAAGTCCACATATTGAATCGAAATCTCTGGTTCGATCTGTGGTATATTGTTTCGCTCCAATTTCTGCATAAATGTTCTAACGATTAGTCTTGCTGTTCGTTATCCTACGGCGTCCCTTTCAGCGACTGGTATAATTTTCCGTGGAGGTTAGTCTATATGACCATGAAGGCGTCCAAGACTCTCCGCAGGCTTTCCGTTTTCAAGGTTTTCAAGGTAGATCCACCATTAGCGAAATACACTCATTTGCAAACTAGCTTGGTTTTTCGAGAGACTCACCTGGAACCCTGCTGAATCTCTCGTCTGTGATGTTTCCAAGCAGCTGAATGTGCTGCACCAGGCCACCTCGTGTTTCAGTTGCCACGGTGTTCGAGATGTCGCGATACATGTACAGACGTAATGCACTACTCATAAGTTTGCTGCCGAAGAATTTTCAGCAGCGAACGGATCAACAATCAACAATCTCACTAATATTTATGCATGTGCATTTATCGTTTTCTTGGTTGATATCGCGTAATTTGTCGGGGTATTTTCCGGAATAGTTGATGTCATGTTCACCCTTTGCTAAGGTCTTGCCATTTTGATGGCTAATTTTTTCGGTAGCAAGGTGACTGACTGAAGATGAGTTCAACTTTGTGGATCTTTGATAGCCTAGAGCAATGCGCAATATCACTATTCGT